GAGCAAAAGCAATACTGCTTCTGAAACCTAAAAGTGTAAATTTCCTAATTTTCAACCGTTTGCACCCTGCAGTTGCTCTCCAACCTGAGTTGTGAGTCTTTGCAGTTCCTCTGGAGTTGCCATAGTCAAGAATGCTACTTGGTTCTTCTTTGGTCTTCATGATGCCCTTTGTTCACTTATGTTTTTTAGCAAACCTCTGAGTTCTTTGCAGAACAGCTGGATTTATACTTAGAATCAATAAAGTTAGATAACTTAGCTGAACTGTATTATAATGATGTGGTACTGTGTTTTGGGCCCTCACCAAATTTTTGTGTGGAAAAGTTGAGGGTGTATGAGTGTTTTTACAAGGTACTTCCAGATTAACACAAGGTTTTCATATGGACCTGTTTCCCTTGTTTGAAAAAAAAATGCATGCATGGGGAATATTTCAGAAAAGTTTGAGTTAAATGTGGGCAGCAAAGCTAGTATTCTCTCTGTAATCCAAAGGAAAAAGAGGCAAACATGGCGTGCGCCTTTGCCTTGTTTGAAGACTTCATGTCGCTGAATGATTAGCAGAAATAATGTCCCTGTCACCCTTAATCACATTAAAACGTGGTTAACATTTAATTTTTCCCACTTGATATGCAAAAATTTCCACTTGATTTGCAGCCAAGGCCATTGAAGTTCCATTATAAAGAGAATAAAAATTTCAGGCATCATTTGTTCAGAGGGGGATATCAGGACCAGAAAGTGCTGAATCTGTCTATTAGCAGAGCAGTGAGAGATGGCACTCAGCATTGGAACATAATGGGAGACTGACAAGAGACACTTACTCTCAAACAGTCCTTCTTCAGAGTTGTAAAAGCTTTCAAAAGTGAATCTAACTAAAGGAATTGGTTATTCATAGCTTTTGTTGTTGGGTTTATACATTCTAACTAAAAGAGAAGAAAGTAGTTTGGAAATCTCCACAAAAACACATAAAATGGAAACGAAAGCAGGGTTTACATAAATATTTCATCAATTTTGAACATACACATAAATAATTGGAAGCCGCATAAATACACATAGTAAAGTAAGACCAGGATGTCGTGGCGATGCTGACAGAAGTGCTTTCTGGTGCAGTGTTGACCGTGCATCAAAGCTCTTAATTGACAGCGCTTTGTTTCTGGAGTTGAGGCAAGGGGGTGTTTCATGTTCCCTCATGGCAAGGTGTTTGTCTGCTCCTATGTCACTCAGTGTAAGGACCCAGAGACCCCCGGTGCTCATTTGCGGCTCACATTCTCTGTCTCGGCTTCACATTATTAAAATCATCCCTCAGCCCTCCACCAATAGGCTCTTTGTTCCCCGGCCGACTCGGCTCAGCTCTGTCAAAGTCTTCACCAATTACAGTCCCAGGTACAATGGTCTATTCAAAGGATCACAGCTCTTGACTGGTGTGGAGAGAGTGATTTGTGAATCGTTATTCAAACTGCCTGTAGAGAAAGCAATACCTGAGGAATGCAAATAACGTGCCACCAAATAGACAGCTGTGCAGCTAAAAGTGACAAACTACAGCTGTTATTATCTCAGATTGGATTTTTCCCCCCTCAAGGTGCAGCCCTCCATCTCCTGTGTTTTTAGGCTTTTTGGCTTTTTTCTTGCTATCCTCCGAGACTTTGGTTGCCACCTTTATTTAAAATGCAGAAAGAAAAGGGAAATATTGGGTTATTGCTTTTAATAGCTGTGCATGTAAACTGAGAAACGAACTGACACTTAAACAGCATTCAGTCAAAGCAAACTGCGTTCTCCCATGTGTTATGTGTTGTATATTGATCATCATCAGTTAGAAGTAGTGATCTGGTGCTGCAGGCGATATTTCCGAAGACATTGTTATGAGAACAGATCTGATATTGAGGCCCCAGTCTTTGATTCCTTATGGGGCCTTTAAACAGGAAACCAGGATTACTCATAATGACAGGGACCCCCTTAGAATCAATCTGGGAGCCAACGTGTGAAAATGGATTTGTGCGATGCTGCTCTTTGCGATCCATCCAATCCCAGCCTCGAAGCTTGCGGGGCTAATCTCATAATTGCCCTTACCCCCTTGTATTGTTCTGACTGAGGGTTGCCATTAAATGTGAGGAAATCTTTGTCCTGCAATGTCAGGTGTCCTGCTGGAACAGGGAGACAAAAAAATGAAGTGACAAAGACCTTTAAAAGTAAGGAAATCTAAGTGCTTATATGTTCTTTTCCCTCCAGGCTCTGTGTTAATGTTTATTTAACACCCTGCAGATAAATTCAATTTCCTCTGTAGTAATCTGTTTGGCTTCATTGTTATCTATTGAAATATTGTCCCTTTTAGCTGAATTTCAGTAGGATATTTAGTTACAATGGATTTTTTAATAGATATTTATCACTCTCAGCTATAAAATCACACCCCTTATTGATACCTGCCATATTTATTCACCTCCTATCCCATCCTCATCTTTATGCCTTCTGGCAAGAGTAACTTGGTTTCTTGCCAAGCCTTGTTAGTCACAGTTTAAGCTGTTTAGGCTCTGACTGTATTCTAAAGCAGGTTTAAATCAGAAGTTGTTTTCATGTTGCCTCGGATTCATTAATATCTGCTTACATTCAGTTTATTTATTTTATTTCAAACTGCCTTGTCCACTCACAGTAGAACATGAGATATGACTAGAGTTTTGTTTGCACTGTTATAGACAGAATAATTTAATTGTAAAACAAGCTGTAGCATACAGTCCTGAGCTGTGAGCTGCGTAAACAGAGGATTTGATGCCATACACATCACACGGAAGTAGACGTGGTTTTAACACAGTTCAGTGTGTATCAGATACATTCTGTCAACCTCTCTCTACTGTATGTTGCCGGCTTGTTTCTTCTATATTTTGTATTTGATTTGATTGGGCAACATCTTTCTACTTCTAAAGCAAAACTGTGACATGTGACATATTTCAGCAGAGATAGAAAAATCTAATGCAACATGAATGCTCCGGTTTTGGTCGGATAGGAACACAGCAGATATGTATCAGATTTAGAACTTCATTTTAAAGTCTGGGGGTCTGATTTGAAGAGGGAAAAAAAATTGTTCCATCCAAAAATTATCTGAAGGTCACGTAATGGCAAACAAGTTCAAATTAAGCCTCTTGTGTCTACAGGACATAGATGGTCTCTTTGAAAGGTTCAATTTTTAATATGCTCAGTTTAACAATTGGGCCCAAGACTGACTTGATACTCAAACTGAAAGTTTTTTTTCTTTCTTTTTTTGCAGTTTGGGATTTCTATAATTGTTGTACTTATGCCCATGAGAGAACAAGGTGATAGGTCTGTATTCAGACACTGAAGAGACATGTTTACTAAGCCGTATTGGACTCTGTGTAGCTCAATGCACCATTATTTTATGGGAAAATGTGCCATAAGAAGTGTGAAAGCATAGTTCAGGTTTGCAATGTAACTTATGTTATCTAGACATCACACAACAGCTATACTAATCCAGAGTTTCTTCTCACTTAATCTCTTCCTGCCCATTGTTGCCAATATGCAACAAAACCTTCGTATTATGTACGCAGTCAAGGTAGCCCACGCAGTCCCCCAGTGCCAATTATTGCACATTCACTGAGGACCTTGGAACCTTTGGAAAGCTCATGTTTCTGTTACAACTGGTGCCTAAAGCTTTATGTTATCATTGATAGTTATAAATTTCATCTTTTTTATTTATAATACATCAATATTGCTATTCATTTTTTTTTTTATCAAACATGATTCAGCAGTTCAACTTAGAGAATTAAATCAATATCTGAGAGACATTTATTAAACAATTATATTTTATTTTTTAACCATTTTACACAGTTGTTTTTGTTAATGCTTATGGCTTATTTCTAAGGAAGTTTTACTAACAAATGTATCAAATTATTGTTCTATTTCTCTAATCAGTAATTTGTAAAAGGCAGATGTTTCTGTACGCTGTAATAAAAAGTCGAAAAAAAATATATAAATTCTCTTTTTATTCTAATATCGTGTGATGTACCCTTATTTCTAGCAAAGATTTGTGCAAAGCCAGATTGCAAATATGCCTCATTGCAAAAATTTATTGTAGAGCCCTAGTTTAGCAGGTAGTCATTTGTCCAGCAGAGCTGCAGCAGGCAACGTACTTCGAACTGAATAAGAGAGTATTTGAAAAAAAAATTATAATGAATAATATTCTTAAATTAAAGGTTGGATTTTTTTTCCATTGTACGTTTTATTTATTTAATCAAAATCATATATTTTTACGCCCCTTCATAGATGTTTTTATATGTATCAACAAATGAAAGGATCTTTATAATAAACTCTTAGCTTTTCGGTGCAACTTACAAGTGGAGAAAATATCCTCTGAATCAATAGATTATATCAATATATATAATCAATATATGTCATGCCATATTAAGCAGATTTAAGTTCGTTACATGGATCCATTTTTCATAAGAATCACATGTATTGAAATACATTTTTTTACTTAAACCTAACCTAAGCAGTGGGCTCATGATTAAATTAGAAACAATGATCAATTACTAACAATGATTAAGTGATGATGATGATGATGATGATGATGATGATGATGATGATGATGATGATGATGATGATGATGATGATGATGATGATGATGATGATGATGATGATGATGATGATGATGATAGGGTAATTAAGCTAATATGTATTATTACATATCTACAAATGCAAAAAAAAATCTTTTTCTATGCAAAAAGTTTTGGTTTCAATGAAAGCTAATACTTATAATACTGTATGTTTAATCCTTGTACTCTCAACATATTTAGGTGTCTTTTAATGTGCACATCTAAATAAAAAGAGATCATGTTATCACTTTCTTTCCTCTAGTATCTTCATTAAAAAAAAATATTTCTAATCTCTCTGAAAGATGGCCTCCTAAAAATATACATTCCTATTCTCTGCTCCTTTCTCCAATGTGCATTTCTGAGCCCATAAAAAATAATTCCCTCTCATTGTGGCTGATGTTTCTCCATCAGGCTGGTGAAAATCAAGGAGTGGGTGGACAGTCACGACCCCGGAGCCTTGGTCATCCCCTTCAGCGGCAACCTGGAGAGTCGACTACAGGACTTTAACGAAGAAGAGAGACTGAAATACTGCAAAGAGCACAAGACGCAGAGGTTAATTAGCATTCAGTCTCCCTACACTTTATTATCAGCTGTGTCCTCCATGCACTCCTTTAATTGCATGTGCTGATAGAATAATAAATGGCAGAGTAATTACCATTATAAAGCAAAGGATCCCTCTTCTTCCTGAACAACTCAGTCAAAGGGTTTTCCTCCAAATTAAGTTTTTAACTGTCATCTGTCATCTGTAGGTATAATTATAACTTGGTGCATTTTGGGTTTATTGTTCTCATCTGAAAACCTCTATGGAGAGAAAAATTGTGACAGCGGAGACATTTTTTTCCCTTCTCTTTTTCTCAGCTAACACCGAGGTGTCGAGTTGAATTCTTAAAAATGTTAAATGGGACTACAAGTATTCTAATTAATCATGCAAACCATTGGAGAGTTGAATGTCTCATGTGAAATGAAGTGACCCATCTTTAATGAGTTTGTATTAAACGTTGCTTTGCCACTGGAGCTAACTTTGCCTAGACATCAGCGTCAGTGAAGTATAATGAAACAATTCAGAGCCTTTGATTCAGGCTTAAATTTCTCTCCATCAGTGCCCTAAGCAAGATCATCAAGGCTGGCTACGCAGCCCTGCAGCTTGAGTACTTCTTCACCGCTGGCCCAGATGAGGTTCGCGCCTGGACCATCCGGGTAAGCGCCGCGGTGTGAACACGCACACAGCATCCCGCGTTCCACCCTGCTGGCACCCTCACTGATATCACACACTTCCAACTTTGTCATGGTCGTGCTTTAGCTAGTCATTACAGGCCGAGGATAACTTCAATTACTGGTGAGCTGGTGAACGGTGAAAGTGGGGGCCCACATTGATTGAGGAGGACAACAATTGATTTTGCCCATTACGTCCATGAGAATGTTTCCATCCTGTGCAGATCTGCCTGCCCTCCTCCTGCCGCTGGAGATAAGGAGGCCTTGCATTGTGCCTGCCTAATCTGTGTGACGGAGGGTGTCTGTGCCAAAATTGATGTCGCTTTTCATCCGACTGTTTGCGGGCCTTGCTGGGGGCTCCTCCTCCGTGTGTGTCTCAGTTTACAGAGTCCTGCCCGCCAAGAGATCTGCGTAATGGGATCACAGGATGTACATCAATACAGATGTTGGATTTGCATGTTGGCATTGTGTGTTTTCTCTGCTTTTTTTCCTTTAAGAGAATCACATTTTAGATTTTAAAAGCCAGCATAAAAATATTTAAAAAAAAATTAGTATTTTATAATTTTTTCTTTAAAATTCAAAATTCAAGTATATTTAAAGCAGATTGAATTAATCTCAGAATGGATACATATAACAGACTTTCATTTAAAATAAACTCTTATATTGCACAGATCATAACCTAGGAGATAAGATTTTTTTATTTTGTTTTTTGTGCTGACATTTTTTAAATCTCCTCATGGGTTTGCTGTATTTTCATTATTTTTAACTTTCGGATATTTCAAATTCCTTTTTTAAGTGTAAACCTAAGCAAAGTGTACCTTGTTAGTTCACATTTTGAACAAAGATATAAAAGAAATTAGGTTGTTTCATACATTTGTGCTGTCATGCAAATCTGAAAGACTGTTTTGCACCTATATATTCATCCCCACAGAAACAACCTTTTACTTTTAACTGACTAATTATAAAATGCTTAAGCTCAGTCAGGTTGGATAAATATCATCGAGCAACCACTTTTAGGGTTCTTTTCCTGCTTGGAGGTGAACATCCACCCAAATATAAAGTGTTTTGCCTCCTCTACATTTAGCAGGTGTTCTTCAGGATTCTCCTGTAACCAGCAGCTAGACAAGCTTCAATGTCCCTGCTTAAGAAAAGAAATCCCACAGCATAAAGCTGCCACCACTTTACCATAATTACAGTAGGTTCAGGGTGAGTTGCAGTTTTAATATTTGCCAAACTGAGCACCTTCTTTCATGCTTGCTGTGCTCCCTTAATGTCTGTAAACACAGCTTAATATGACATGTGCAAGGCTGTTTGTTTACTAGAGTTCTAACAGACCTCTTGGCCCTTCAATGAACAGAACAGATCAGACATTTGCTGAGACTATATAGCCCACAGACAAGCTACATTCAATCATTTGATGACTTCTGAAGTCACTCCCACTGTTTTATGTAATGGTGTCAATTAGAGGTTATCTTTACACCTTCAGTCCCAATAATACCAACTTTTGGATTACATAAAAATGTGAGAAATGAATGCATATGACAGAGTATATGCCAATATTGTGTTCTACAGTTATTTTTGGAAGTTGTTTTTGTTGTTGCAAACGTAAAGTGCTTCATCAGATATCAGCAAAGCAGATCCAAGCTAAGGGCCATAAGAGCATTCTGATTTTAGTTGCAATTATACAAAACAAAACCTGTAAGATTTATTTTTCAGGTTTTAGATGTAAAATAGAAGAGAAATGAAAATCAAATACAAAGTTTGAAAAAAAAATATTTTTTAGATGTAGCTTCAGGATATTGCTGTACCATAACATTTTGAAATTTGAACAAACACCCCACCCCCCGCCCCCCAATCCACGCCCCTAGTTGTACAGATGCTTCCCTCTTATGTGTAATTTAGTGAAGACTCTTAAACTGTGCACAGGCCTGAGGTAAAGGTGAGCTCACTTCCTGTTTTTTTACTCAGCACTGCTTATGGCTCAGTCAGATGACATCACCAAATTTATCTCATGATGACTGATGTCCTTGCTATTTACAATAAAAGCCCCCGAATGCTTCAAAGGTATCCTTAAAAAACAGGCGTATGTTTGCTCGGTGTAAGTAATTACAGCCAACCTTGATTTGTGTGTGAGGGGCATTCAGTCAGGTAAGCATCAGTGAGTAACTATATTAAGCCAATACATCTTGTATTGTAAAAACTACACTCAGTAATGTCATGTTCCTAAGTTCTTTAACATGCTTTATTAGGCAGCCTCGAGGTGACCATTATCTATCAGCCTGCTCTGCATAGCTCTTAACTAGGACAATGTGGCTCTCCTGTAAAGCCTCGGATAAAAAAAAAAAACCTTGATGCTGATTAATGGTAGTTAAACACACAAGTACTTCGTCAGTAAGATTGCAAATAGATGGTAATGTATTAGAGTCATTAAATACGCATCATTCTTGTGGCATGAAATATGTTGACCCCAACCTGATTATATACATAATTAAAACCACTCAACAGCTCCTGAGCACGGAGCTGTGGAGCGACTCGACAGGCAGGACTCACGATGATGCACGGCAGCCATGTCACTTATTTGGCTCATTTGTCATTTCCGCGCATCATTTCATGGCATATAAATGGCACATTTCATCATTCAGCACTTGTGTCTGGGAGCCAGATTTTTACAAAACTTTTCAACTCATACAGAATTAGCTTAAAATATTTTGTGGAGAATAAAACTACCACTAGATTCTGACTTTTCATCTTAAAGTTTCTCGCTCACTTCACCTAATCTCCCAAAGTTGTGTAGTCAAAACAACTGTCAAAATAATACGCTTATTCCTAAAAAAAAATCGATTTTACCTTGTAAGCAGAGACCCCTACCAGCTTCCACTGTGAAGAGAAACACTTTAGTTAAGACAATTATTCACAATATGCTCACAGCAAAACTAGTCAAATCCACATAAACAGTCCACTTACAGACAAGATCACTTCTGATCAACAGAAAAAGAAGGAGCCTGAGATCTCTGGTATGAAGCTCTTTATGGGATGGCTGACGAGCTCCAACACGTTGCACCTGTGCCAGACGGGTTGACCTGAAACCCAAAGAGAGAGCTCTCTCATGAAGAGAGCCCCTAGAGGTCAGTGACGGTAACAAGCAGACTAAGTGAAAAGTCGTAAATTATACAATTAACACTGTTCAGTATCATACCAATGGTAACATGGGATTGGTTCAGTAAAACCAACTGTAAACACTTGTAAAATTACTACATAGAAAACAGCATAAATTATTACCTTTAGAATAGAATAGAAATTCCGATTATTGTCCAACAATGGGGTAATTCTCATGTTTACAGCAGCAAAAAAATTATAGAAAACATTGGTCACACAAATGTGGAATTAAAAGATAAACAATAAAATATTGTACTGTAAAATGTTTTAACAATATAAATACTATGCCCCTGGAGAATACATAACCAATATACAGCTATGGACATTTTCACAGTAATGGATATTTGAAAATAGCAACAACATCAGAGATGTGCAAAATGACAGCAGCATGTTATTTAACTGACTAATGTAGAAACTGCAAAATCAGCATGAATGTAGCAACTTCTTGAGGTTGTTGGGAACAGTGGTGGTTTTAGAGTCTTCCAGCTGCTGGGAGGAAGGATCTGTGATAACGCTCCCTGGTGCATTTAGGGTGCAGCAGTCTGTCACAGAAGGAGCTCTCCAGTTCTGCAACAGCTTCATGCATGAGTTGGGAGACATTATCCAATAGAGATGTTAATTTAGTCAGGATCCTTTATTTACTATAGATGTTTAGTGGAAACTGAGTCACTTTTATTTTTTGAATGAATAAGTCATTGATCAACGCAAATGGGCCTCAAAAGCACCCTTTAATAATCAGCTAATTTTTTTCTGTAGCATTGTGGGTCCACTTTGGCCCTTTTCTAAACATACACTTTGCTCACCGCTGACCATGAGTGATTCCACTGATTTGACCAGCTAATCATTCTCCTGATATAATTAGCAATTCAAAAGCAGTATTTTTTAAGATTTCTGCGGTCAAACAGGAGATTTGGAAATGCCACATTTGACTGCAACATGAGTGTAATATCTCTGAGCGGTAAACATGAATTTGAAACTCTGGTGTCTTTCAATAGTTTGACTCGATAGAGTGAGGTCTATACCACCTTAGCCTCTGACTGCAACACTGGTTCTTGTTGCTGTCATGACCAGAGAGCTGAGCAGCGACCCACAATGAGACAAGATTGCTTGGACAGAAATCAATACAGCTGAGGAATGGGAATCAGAAGGCATTGATAGCAGCGCTAAGTCCTTATCGGTGTCCAGGCTGCCCTAGCAGGCTACAGCCGACTGAGTGGAAAGCTATCCAGAAATCTGGACAGAGGCAAGAATACCCCTTAAAAAACACCCCCGGAGTCATTACACTGCTATCACCCTATCAAACACCATGTCCCTCGCATGCTGTAATCCATCTTCTCCAAAACAATTCATTTGTCCTCTCTTCTCCTCTCTCTGTGACAGAAAGGAACTAAGGCTCCACAGGCTGCAGGGAAGATCCACACGGACTTCGAGAGGGGCTTCATTATGGCAGAAGTAATGAAATTCCAGGATTTTAAAGAAGAGGGCAGCGAGAGCGCTGTCAAGGTGAGCAGTTAGTGTGCCGGAGGAGATGAGGGGAAGTCTCCCGTGATCAGTGGAGCTGACAGTCGCCACGCAGCTCCGACTGAAAACTCTTCTTCACCTTTACTCAGGGGAAGAAATTACTGCACACATTCAGGCACCACCAGTGACAAGCCAGCTGATTGTGGCTCTAAACACTGCCATTGTGCTCCAGCTGTGCATATCTTTATCACAATGTGTTCTAACTGGCTGATGGTAGCTCTTGCTTTTGGCTCGGCATAGACACTCAGAGTAAGCACTTCTTCAGCGCGCCAGGCGTCTATCAGATCTGTACGGAGTACCGTGAGCTTAGAGCTCTACCTCACTAAGTCCCCACTGTAGACATGTGACAGTGATATAAAGTGGCAAGTTAAATAAAGTGTAAAATTCCTCAAATAAGGACTGCTTCATGCATGGGTAGCACAAAAATTTGACTTGCATGTCTTAGTTACATGTTTTCTAGGTGATCTTTTGGCTCTTCTTGTGCAGCATCATGATAAATTCAATAACATATAGTAAACAATGCTTCTTTGAGATTAAATTTGATAGACCTGTTTGAAATATAACTATACTATTATTTATTCCACATCACTTGTGATGAATAACCTGATCATTATTTCACTCATTAAAATAAATAGGTGTCCCAGATATTTTGCCTCCCTTTGATTCTGATTCCAATAAACTGAACATTTTTAAGCCTCAGACATAAACATACCCGCAGCAACATGCTACCAGCACCATGTGTCACCATGATGATGGTATGTCCAGGGTGATGCGTGAGAAAGTATTTGCATGTAGGCCAAAGTTACAATTTTTGTGTCCTCTGACCAGAGCTCCTTCATCCCTTATGTTTTTTGCAATTTGGGGTAAATGGCATTTTGTTCAGTTTGCAACTATGCCATATTATGTGACTTTGTCAAATTTATAAACTAACCCTGCTTTAAAGTTGTTCACAACTGATTCCCACGCTTTTTGATGCGTTTCCTGGTCTTTTTGATGCTGTTGTGCTCTACTAGACTTTAATAACTAATTTGAGACTTTTGAAGGCAGTTGGTGGCCCTGGATTTTATTTAGAGGTTTCAGAGAGAAGGGTATTAAAGACACTTTTTTCACAGATTTCCAATGGTTGAAAACATTGAAATTCTCCTTTTCTTCCACTTTTAGAATTAGGCTATTTGTTGGACTATCACACATAGTGATGGTTGCAATGTGATTGTCATATAATTGCTAATAATTTTATAGCACACTGTATTTCATGGCCTTTTTTTAAGAATTGCATCTGCTGTTTTGTTTTTTAAAAAGTCAGAACGGTTCCGAAGTTGGGCTCTGCCATTAGTTTTTAATCAGCAACCTGAACAGTGCCACAAGGAAGAGTTGTGATTAAACAAGCGCCATTAAATTTGTGTTTCATTAAACGAAAACTAACATGACTTGCTTCACTTTTGTACACCTTGTGATCAGTAGCCGTAAGCCATGCTGGTGCGATCTTTTTATCCTCAGCATCGACTCCATGTGCCCACTTACAAACTCAGCTAATGTAATTATGGTTGCACAAAAGACCCGTGGCGACCCGTGAGGAAGGAAGCACTAAAAAAACATTTAAACCTCTTTAATATTCAAGCCCCTTTTTAAAACATTTTTTATTATTTAATGCAGTGGCAGTGCATTGTTCCCACCCCCCATAAGCTGCTGACAGAGAGTGAGTCGTGTTGGTCTCTGGGGGGGTCTCACCATTGTTATCCAGGGTTGAGATCTGAGTGTCAGGTCCTCAATGCTTGCTCTCTCTTTAATCTCTTTTTGAGCCTCAGAAGAACATGGAGCGTCTCTGACTGTGGCATTAAAGTCTGTGCTATTTAATGCCAGTTGTGGGAATAGGCTGCATGAATAGGGCCAGAGTACGGGGATATCACATTATTAGTAATCATATCTGCTTAAGCCAAGCTTGCTGCTCCAGATGGCTGCTTTCAAGTGCAAATGAACCAGTTAGATGTGTCGGGTTTAATACGTACTCAGGAATCACAAATAGCCATTGATTTTTTTCTCTGTCTGCCTCTCCATCCTGTGTTTCTGGTGGTATTGAGCTTGGATTAAATTGTCTCCTGAGCCTTTTAAAGAGACATTGATTCCTCTAATTAATTGTGCACCGTGCAGAACCAGAATGCATTTAAACCTGTCTGTGTTAGCACTTCAAGTCAATTATTTTTAGTTTGCCAGGACGGAGAACAAACACTTACAGTATACAAAAGAAATGCTAGAACTTATTTAGTTTCCTTGAGAAGTTTCACATTGCTGTAATCAAAGACTTATTAACATTTTGTGTCTGTGCACACGAAGCTCAAATGGACAGACGAGAGGATTACTCACTCAGTGGGAATTCAGGCACCCTAGAGAGAAAAGAACACTCACGCATTTCTGTGTGTTTGATTCAGTGTGTGTGTTCGCCTCTTCCATGTATGCAAGTCACAGTGGCACCACCAAAGGGCATGAACAGGTGCAATGGCCACCCCAATAAATCTGATGACCACCAACTGCCCCGTACCCCCTCCCTGACCAGAAAAACTTGTTATGTTATGCTGAGTTATTGGAGAAAAAACGTTTGAATAAGTTGCAATATCAATTTATTCAATCTTTCATGCATCTGTCAGTTTTTCTCCCCTTAGTGTGCCAATTATTTTTCATTTTATTTTTTCCTTTCCCAAGATTAAAAGTGGGAACTTTGGCTATTGCTTTAAAAGCTTTCTAGAAGCACAGCACCCCTGCGATTGCAGCATATTACTACAATTTATAATGTATTAACCCAAATAGTTAATGTTATTAGTATATTGTAATCATAAAGCAATGCCGGTTCTATTTTCTGTTATTCCATTAAATCTTTTTTTTTGGTTTCTTACAGGCAGCTGGGAAATACCGACAGCAAGGAAGAAACTACACGGTTGAGGATGGAGACATCATCTTTTTCAAATTCAATGCACCAAACGCACCAAAGAAGAAGTGACTTAGGAGGAATATTGTTGTTTACACAGCTGACTTTATTTTTTTCATTATTTTTGGCAATGGATATACGAGTATTCACACCCCTTCGTTTTTTCCAAATTTCACAATGTAACGGGTTTATTCTGAAACTGTTAATTTATTTATTTATTTATTTATTTATTTTTTACAAGATAACTAGCCTATAAAGAGAAAGAAAAATGAAAAACCTGTTAAGTATGTATGTAGTCACACCTTTTTAATTTTTCACTGTTTCTTATATATTTCTGAAACTTGACAGGTTTTTTCCCTTATGGAAATTTAAAATTATGGAACTTAAAACTGCAGAGGAATACAAAAATATATCTACCAAATATCCTGAAAAGTACTTTTGTCTGCAGAACCCTATGTAGATTTAAATGATGGTGCGGATTGATCAGGATCAATGGTCAGTTAGTATATTCTTTTCAGTAAAGAACCATCCAGAAGGTTGCCTTTTGCTAGCACTATTTGTGAGTCAGATCTCTATGGCAGCAGGGGAAGCACCAGAAGCTGCTCACTAAAACACAATTGGTGGCCGGCTTGAATTTTGCAAAAACATATCCTAGATTTTTAAGGCTAATAATCTTCATAATTTAGAAGCTTTTGTGCTGGAACTCACTGCAGTCTCTCTTGTCAAGCACGGTGATAGCAACATCATGCTAGGGCAGTGTTATTTAACTAAGGGGATTGGTAGATACTCTTAGTAGGTGTTCCAAGCTCGTAAGCAACGACCCAAGAACACTTATGTCCGGCCAAAGATGCTATAAAGAATTATATCGAGCCATGGATGTGTTACATTAATAATTTTCACATCCCACTAAAAAGCTTTTTTGATATTACAGAGTTCTGTTCATAAATAGGTGTGATGGCAAATCCTCAGATGTATTTTAGAAAAAGTAACACAAAATGGAGAAAAAACAAAGGGGTGTGAATAATTTCTGGTGGTAGTGTGAAGGATCCAGAGCAAAATATGCTTCTATTAACTCTGACAGTCTTTCTGTTTGAGATCGGGATTGAGGATCACAGCAGCATTTTAAGGAGCATATCACTCCCCTGTTACTTCATTAATCTCCATCACAGATGCCAGCAGTGACACGGCTGACAGAGGAGACAATACCACCTGCTCTGCTCTCCCTCCTGCAGATAATGCATGTTTTACAGTAGGCCAGATGTCTACACTCAATAAAACATTTGACAAAAAAACAGCCTGTGTGTGTTCAGGGATGTCTGTATTGAGTAGAGAGCTGCATGGGCACAGTGATAGTGGTCCTGCAGACCACTGATTAGAGAATTAAAAGACACAGCTGACGTTGACTGTAGTGTAGAGGGGACAATTATAATTAAGTCAGTTAAGTGATGCTGATTTCCGAAGGGCACATGGAGGATGCAGGTGTGTTTTGCCAAAGGGAAGTGGTCATTTTGAGTTATATTTTTCCAAACAGATTGAGTTAACCTTTCATTGAATGTTTTCTCCCCTGAATATAAAGCTAGACTAAAGCATAAGTTAACCAAACAGCTGATATTTAAGGCTCCAAGGCCAGCAGGTTGAGCCCTAAGAGGGACTTGATCTTAACACTGAAAACACAAATTTTACTTAAGTCGAAGACACAACCCTACTTTATAAACGGCTCCTTTGATGGCTGAATTATAAATTATATTTAAACACAATTTTTTTTTTTTTATTAACTATTGGAATTTCAAATGACATTTTTTTTTAAATGTCAAATTCAATTCAGTTCATGTTATTTCTACAGCATAAATGTACAATATATGGTACCTCAAGGCTTAACATATAGCAGTCTTTGAAGGATGAGGATTGTAAACAAATATTCATGACAAAATTACATTAAAAGAACAATAATGTGCATTTGATCTATTTTTCTTGTCACTGGCTTGGAAAGTTTATTTTTTATTCTACTTATTTTTTAACATTATTTTCCCCAAATAGTACAAAAGAAAATCCACTCTTCCTGTTTATGAAATTTTTTCCTTTTCCTTATTCTAAAACCCTAAAAGCACATGGCATTAGATTTCGTGTAGTAGATATTTAACAAAATAAGTGTTTTATTAAAAAGTTATCTAATATATGTGGCTCAATGAGACTTTTATTTAGTTGAGCTGGGGGTAAAATGGCTCTTTGGATTTTAAAACTTGAAGACCCCTGGTTGAAACAGACAGATGGCCTAGAACCCACTTGTTCCTAGTTACCAAACAGTACAGTACAGCATCATATTATTAAATAAAAGGGTGATATATTTTCAAAGGAATCCCGGCCGATTATAATGACTTTCAGAATTCACCTCTATTTGATGATAACGTAGCAACAGTGTACAAACATTTGCATTTATTGTCAACTTTACATCAATGGTGTAGCGACAATGGAAAAGTAAACTCCCCTTTTACAAGAAAAAACCTCCAGCACAACATGGTTCAGTGTGAACACCTATCAGACCTTAGAGGTTTGTAAACAAGGACAAATATAAAAGTTTTACAAAACTCTTACATCCAATTAGTATAATTCTTATAATGTGTCATAGTTCAAATATACTCCTTTAAAGCCTTGTAAGGGTTTAACTATATATTTTTTTCAAAATTTTAGCTGTTTTTCAAAGATTTCTGGCAAACAATAGGTTACGTTTCTTAAAAAGACACCCTTAAAAACTTAAAAGCTGTGCTTGAAGGTTTACATACCCTTCCATTAAAGACAGAAAAGAAATAGCTGCCAGTGAATTCAATTGTGATTGACAAAAGTAACAAAAAAATAAGAATACATGCAAAAGGACTTCGCAGCGCTTCACTGCTTGGGCCTAATAAAAATGGAAATCATGAAATTGATTTATATATATATATATATATATATATATATATATACATACACTATATTGCCAAAAGTATTTGCTCACCCATCCAAATTATTGGAATCAGGTGTTCCAATCACTTCCATGGCCACAGGTGTATAAATTCAAGCACCTAGGCATGCAGACTGTTTTTACAAACATTTGTGAAAGAATGGGTCGCTCTCAGGAGCTCAGTGAATTCCAGCGTGGAACTGTGATAGGATGCCACCTGTGCAACAAATCCAGTCGTGAAATTTCCTCGCTCCTAAATATTCCACAGTCAACTGTCAGCTGTATTATAAGAAAATGGAAGTGTTTGGGAACGACAGCAACTCAGCCACGAAGTGGTAGGCCACGTAAACTGACGGAGCGGGGTCAGCGGATGCTGACGCGCATAGTGCGAAGAGGTCGCCAACTTTCTGCAGAGTCAATCACTACAGACCTCCAAACTTCATGTGGCCTTCAGATTAGCTCAAGAACAGTGCGCAGAGAGCTTCATGGAATGGGTTTCCATGGTCGAGCAGCTGCATCCAAGCCATACATCACCAAGTGCAATGCAAAGCGTCGGATGCGGTGGTGTAAAGCACGCCGCCACTGGACTCTAGAGCAGTGGAGACGCGTTCTCTGGAGTGACGAATCGCGCTTCTCCATCTGGCAATCTGATGGACGGGTCTGGGTTTGGCGGTTGCCAGGAGAACGGTACTTGTCTGACTGCATTGTGCCAAGTGTAAAGTTTGGTGGAGGGGGGATTATGGTGTGGGGTTGTTTTTCAGGAGCTGGGCTTGGCCCCTTAGTTCCAGTGAAAGGAACTCTGAATGCTTCAGCATACCAAGACATTTTGGACAATTCCATGCTCCCAACTTTGTGGGAACAGTTTGGAGCTCGCCCCTTCCTCTTCCAACATGACTGTGCACCAGTGCACAAAGCAAGGTCCATAAAGACATGGATGACAGAGTCTGGTGTGGATGAACTTGACTGGCCTGCACAGAGTCCTGACCTCAACCCGATAGAACACCTTTGGGATGAATTAGAGCGGAGACTGAGAGCCAGGCCTTCTCGTCCAACATCAGTGTGCGACCTCACAAATGCGCTTCTGGAAGAATGGTCAAAAATTCCCATAAACACACTCCTAAACCTTGTGGACAGCCTTCCCAGAAGAGTTGAAGCTGTTCTAGCTGCAAAGGGTGGACCGACGTCATATTGAACCCTATGGATTAGGAACGGGATGTCACTTAAGCTCATATGTGAGTCAAGGCAGGTGAGCAAATACTTTTGGCAATATAGTGTACATATGTATTTTAATAGATTAAAAAAAGGAAACAAGCATTATGAAGCTCCAGAACTAAACTTGTATTGAGAAACCCTTGGAGGCAATCACGGATGATTGATGAAATCATGTTTTTTCTGTAATGTTCAGGAAACATTCAGTCAGACTTGTGCACCTGTTCATGTTGGCTCACTGTTCATCAGCAAGGTACTTTAATTTGTCTGGGACAGTTTGTTTTTTAGAATTTTTTTTTTAAATCAAAATGAATGAAATCTTCATTTAGTACATTTTTATTAATGCGGGGGTTTTTTTTCGGTCTTGTGTTATTTGAATTACCTGTGTGAATTTATAATTTTCTTTAACGGGAGCACAACTGTATATTGTTGTGCTTTACACTAAACACATTTAGGGCAAATAACTGAGTCAGTAAAATTACTTATCTTTTCAATTTATTTACAATCAGCACTTTCTTACCCTCATTTATACTAACAATTGTGTTTCTAAGCAGAGTTGACGCTATCTCTAAAAGCTTTGGTTAAGAACTGAGCTACTGATATATTCACTAGATGACAGAAGTTCATTCGTTTCATTTATTTAATAACTTCTATCATCCAGTGAATATATAAGCAGCCAAAGCATCTAAATACAGTGTCAAACTGCTTAGAAACACAATTACATCTGAGGCTTTTGGACATAAACATTTGTTGTATAAGTAAATCCAAAAGTACTTGTTGCTATAAAAGAATATAAATGCTCGAACTGCACAACATGTAAACAGCCGAGCCTGGTAAATCTGAAGAGGTTGTTTGTTAGGTAGTAACTGTTACGGGGTGGTTAAAATGAAATTCTGCTAAGTATTAGCAACAGTATTCTAAGACTCAGTTATTTGATTTAGGTAAATCAACATGGACTTGCCTATGTCTTATTTTAAAGGCAGATTCAACTGACCTGATTAGGATAAACCTGAATGTCGCGCCAACTGGGACACTGCTGTTATTTATAATGTCATAAAATAATTAGAGCTGTCTACCTAGTTTATGAGGGAGGAGAAAAGTACATTCTGTAGGTTTTGGCAGATTTTAGTAAGTGGAACTGCACAGAAAAAAAAGAAAAAGTGGTTGATGAGTCATATCAAAACAGAGAACGGTAGCCTTGCACCTCCTTATGCAAAAGTGAGTCAGACTCATCTTTAAGGATGACTTTTAGCAATAAAATTACCCACATAAGAAACGCTTTAGGAAATGATTTTAAAGGGTTTTGGGTGGAGTTTCTTAGAACATTTCAGCGTCATAAAAAAAATAATAATTATAAAAAAAAAAACAATACAAGTATTGAAATAGAGAAGACTGGTTGGAAAAACCAAGACCAAACACACAAAAAAACCGTATTTAACCTGATGGTAGGAGAGTGTGGTAGACCCCACCTATAATGTTACTAAATAATAAATAACACTGAAGAAATGCAGCATAAATTGTAGCTTTATAGAACAAATACAAACGATATCTTATAAATGTTCTTGGTTGTTCGGGCTGCTTTGTATCGCCCTCAAACTGTATAATTAATCTCTCTGACCGTTATTTCATTACTTATTATTTATTTCATTACTTCACTATGTGCAATAACACAGTCATGCAATAATTGCAATTTGGAACTGAGCAGCATTGCAAACTGTAAATAATGCTGATTGTATAAACTGTGATCCTTATTTTATCTATCAATATTTATTTTATTCTTATATTCTATTTTACACTGTTTATATGGAAAGGGTGTAATTTTACTGTGTGATTTGTAATTTTACTAGTTTTACCTATTTTACTTATTGTACTTTTATCTTATTGTTCTATATTTTATTTTGCTCTATTGTACTTACAATCTAATTTTCTCTCTTCTGTAAACGACTGCACTGCAAGAAAAGAATTTCCAGCGGAGGATTAATTAAGTAATAATGATTCTAATGTCCATGCATGTATGTCCATGCAGAGCTCTTTAAAATAAATAATTTTATACCAGCTTGAAACCTTGGTACTACTGTGTACTTTTGGACTTTAAGTTTTAGGTTGAATAAAGTTTGAGGAAAAATGGCTTAATTAATCTGCTTAAAA